CTATCTGGATGGTAAACAAGAAAATCACCATCACATAAATATCTCCCTGAAGTACAAAGGACCTAGAAGAGATAAATTCATATTCTCAGGCTAGCCTGGGACATAATTTCCTTCTTGTACACAGACACATTGCCTGTTATTCAGTGCTATTTGTGTTGTATTTCCACAAACTGACTCTCAGTTTAATTTCTAGGATAAGAGTGGGAAATAAAGATGACAAGAGGAATTTATATAACATCTGATAACTATTGACTGACTTTTCCAGAAGACCCTATCGATTTGTGAAATAAATGTGTAAAATTGTACTAACTTTCTACATGAACAGTAAGAAAAAAAGACAGCATGTTGGCTTAGAAAATAAGGTTAAATAATACCCCAAAAAAGCAGAAAGCAATTAAAAAATATCACAATATGAACAGTATAGGTGAGTTGTTTTAATAAAAATAACAACCACAACGGCAATAATAATTCTTTTAACTACTAGCTATATCTTCAGGTAGAGGAACTACACCCTTTGCATGCATCAGCTCATGACAGCCTTGCAACAATCCTAAGGGTGAATATCATTCTCATTTTAAAGATGAGGAAATTGGGGCTCAGCAGGTTAAGTAGCTGACCTAAGCTCACATCTGACCTCAGATCAATCAGAGCGAACTGGTTAAGGGAGACATAAACTTATTAATAATTATGGTATTCTGACCTCCAATGTTTTGCTCAGAATTAGTACTTTGTTAAAGAGATCTTTAAAAAAAAATACTGTTCTTTGCTGATATGAAATTCTCAAATTCAGCATTTTTTCAAAGCAGAATAATTTTTTTCATAGAGTTGTCAGTCCCTAAAATATGTTACTTTAAAAGCTGATGGAAAATTAACAACCATCATCACCACCACCGACACCACTCCCTCTCATCACCCCCCTCAAAAACACAAAGGACTCCCCCAAAAAAACCCTACACAAAGGCAGACCATGAATAGGCAAGACCTTTTCCAAAGAGTAAAAATCTATGCACTCTGGAGCATTAGAACTTATGACATAGCCCTAAAACTTCTGAAAAAAAAAAAAAAAAAGAATATGGTGATTTTTTTTTTTTTTTTTTTTTGCAGGAATCTGAAAGAATTTTAAATGTAAGGGCCAGAGACGAAGAAAAGTTTTCTTGGAATTAAAAAAATATATTTCTAAAACAGTATATATATTTGCTCTATGTGGGCTTTAGGTTTAAAAGTAAAGAACAAGGTCCTTATCATCCATTTATATTTACATAGAGTCTTATTTTCAAGGGCTCTGACTTAGTGTTTATGAATCTTTTCTAGAGAATGAAAAGTGGAAAACACACTATTCCATATGCTAGAGTTTTTGCTAAAAGACACTGAATAAGATATCAAATTCTTATTTCTATTTGCTAGTCAGTGGTGTGTAGAAAAACACATGATCCCAAATGGCTAAAGTAGAGGAGATTCCGCCCAAAGGTTTCACGCCATGCAGAGGGTGTTTTAAACTGCTTTAGCAGCTGTCATAATACCCCTACTACTTACCAGGATTTGTCATGGCTACAAATAAATGTGTAGGTATTGAAGCGAGAGCAATTCAAAGCATCCCTCCCTGAGTCTGCCCCAGTACAGCCTGATAAGCCATGCCCAGGGACTCAAGTGTGGCCATGCTACACACAACCCTAGTAGAGGTACAGGGGCTGAGGGTTTTGTTTTTTAACTTCTAATCCTAACACAAGTCTGGAAACACCTTTCTCTTAGACATATTTGATTACATTTTCTTTTCAAATTAACCAGTTTCAAGCCTTTATCACTACACAGCCTATTTTTTAAATAGATCACCCTAACTGGCAAGTCAATCTGACTCTATGATATGGTTTAGGACAAAAGCTAAAGATTATTTGGCTTATTCTCAAATGACCAATCAACTACCAACAGAATGTCCACGATTTTATTTTTCCCCTATCATTTTCCTTATTTCGAACAAACTATTTTAAAACTCAGTGAGCCTGGAGCTGAAGGACTATCAAGATAACAAAAAGGTAGGTATTTTAGGAAGAGAAAAAGGACCACAGTTACTTTGAGCAGAGCACTTCTCTTCTTCATTAGTTTATTCTTTATCTGGTAAATCACTGCGGAATGAGCTCAAACTTATTTACCCGTTCCCAAGAATGGAAAAGAGAGGATAGTAGTGGTGGTGGTGGTGGTGTTTGGAGGGAATTTATGTGATAAATTAGAATTAATTCACGCCAAGATGTTCAAGGCACTAAATCAGAGAAAAACAGATCCTTTGAGGGGAATAAATGGGCTCTATGACCCTTTACTGATCCCTTAATTGCTCTTTACTTTAGAGCTACTATTGACTCTGTAAAAACAGATGAATGTCTGATTTCTAATTTTGAATCCTTGGAACGAAGGCATTATTGTTTATTGATATTAGGTTTCCCTTTACCCTTAATTCAAATGAACTGGTTTTTAGATCTTTATTTACTCTAGAGACTCAAAAATAATATCCTAGGCTATTACTGGGATAATGCAGGTAAATTCATATCTGGAAGTACAATGTTCTGACTGCTGTACTGTCAACAGTAATGAAATCATTAGTAATAGTAGTAATGATACCAAGAACACTTTTGTGCATGGGGAAAAGAACAGATTTTAACCACTGGGAAGGTAGTGGAGTTGGGACATGGGAGGCAGGGGTCTTAACTGAAAAGGGAACACTCTTCAATCAAGAATACAGAGTACCTCTGTTAGGTAGAAAATGTCAGCTTCTTCCCAATCACGTTAGATTTTGCCAAAGCATGGAGCACAAGCATCAATCAGCAGCACTGCTAAAAACCAGTCTCAAGCTGCCTCATGCTAATGCCAATCAGTTAAAACCTTTATCCCAGTGTTTGTGGAGGAGCTTCGTCTGAAACCACAGGAGAGGGAAGAGAATCTTCAAATAGGACCACCAAGGGGACGACCACCAGGCAGACAAGCTTATTATCGGGAAACCACCTAGCAGCAGAGGTGAACTGTATGAACACTGTCCGGCTACCAGCATTTCAGCACTTATATCTGAGCATGTCTGTATGCCCCACAGGGAAGCTCCTTTACCAGAGGAATTGGGTAAGTGGTGCAGTGAGGAGGAGAAAACATTACTGGTAAACAGACAGACTGAACACAGGAGAGCAAGGCCTGATCTGGAATGCCAATGGTAACTCATGTTAACACCAGGAGCCAGGCCGCTGATGACTAATTGGCTAAGAGGACTGAGAGAATTAACAAATGCTTATTAAAAACTCTTTGGTTATTCAGGGGTCTAAAATGTATATGATAAGAAAGTCGAAATTGGATTAAATTAGAAATCTGTAATGTGGGATGATAATATAATTGACACCACTGGGATATCCTGCAGAGTTAGAGGATATTATTATCAAAATAAACAAGCTCTCTTCAAATGGAATTTCCTCCACCTGGAGTTTAGAGCCTACACCCTGCACACTCACAGAAGGCTTGGTGCTAAGGCACGTTGTTAAATGACCTGCTAATGTGATCCTGATGCCTGAACATCACTTTCGAATGTCTTCTGGATTCCCCCATCTTGGTGAGCAAGTAGCAGAGTGGTCCACCTTGTGTTGCATGTCAAAAGCTCCAATAGCTAATTTAACTCCTAATCCTAACGATGTTTAAAAGGAGAAGTTACCAAACTTCTTTCATAAAGTTATTTTTCCTCCTTTTTTGTTGTTGATCTATACACTTCATATTAATACATTACACTTGTTTCTCAATCTGGCCTTTTATTCATACTTCATTTTTATAATTAAAAAGAGAGGTCCTTGAGGCTAAAAATCCATAGATAGAGATAAACAGAACGGTTGAACTCTTTATACCTGCAACAGAATCCCCAATCTGATATGCCAGAGATGTGACCAGCAGTTCGGTAGCCATGCTCAAAATCTGTCCCCAGATAGACTTATTCAAAGAGTGGAGTGAGAAAGTAAACATTTAAGGGAAGAGCTCAACTGTGAAAACCAAAAGGCTCTTCAAGCCTGTTAGGTAGAGGGTGCTTGTCATAGGGCTCTCAGGGTTCCTGGAGGCCCTCGCTGGTTCAAGTTAGGGATCCTCAGATATTCAAAAAACAGATAAATGGGAAAGCGAGATTGGACAAAGTCCACAAAACAACTTGCTCAGGTGCTCCTGAATGTAGCCTCAACTGTATCCTTGTAAAATAGTTCTAGTCTCAGGAATGTGGTCTTGTGCTTGGTAACGGGGGAACTTTCCTGTCCTGCTTCTAGTTTCTAGGTTCTAAGTGTGGTGATTAGGAGACTGGGAGATGTGAAAAGGAAGAAACAGATTTATAAAACAGCAAACAAGGAAAGAACTTGATATGTATTTTACTGAATGCATGTAAATGTGTATGAGAACAGAAGAAGACAGAAAAGGTAACAGAGAGGAAGAACTTTAATACAAACCTGAAAACCTTCTAGAAAGAGGGATCTAGAAATAATGCTTTAAGAAGACTCTCTTCCTTAAAGATCTGAAATAAGCTGGAATGTAGGTCAAGCCAAGAGCCTATAAAGCCTTTTATTTTAGCTATCATTTTTGTAAAAGTTACCTGGGCATATTAAATAAATCTCTTTGGTGGTATAATTTCCAACTGAGTTTATAGTAAAATGTTGTGCCTATTATCTCTCCATTAGATTCTGTTTGAAATTCCTGGGTTCATACTCTCCTGGGGGTTTTCATACGCTGAAGGACTCAGAAATGACAGGGTCAAAAATAGTAAATTTGATAAGAATTTCCATCACAGTCATTCCATACCCTAGGACCATGGACGTTACCACAACTGGCTTGGGAACAAGGGTTCTCAAAAAGATTCCACCCACTTCCTGGTTACACCTAAGGGAGGAGACCAAGCCCTGGAATTTTTAATTAGACCCTCACCGATGGCCTTTTTAAGGAATTGGCAATTTTGTGTCTAAATTTCAGAATGACTCTTTAACTTTATACATACTTATCCCTCAATGAATGGTGTGAGATAAAGAACTGCCCAAGATGAAGGAATTCAGAGTCAGGGCCTTACCGTTACTATTTAGTGTTTTCATGATAACCTCCATCTGTGCAAATTCATAGTTATAGTCTGGTTCTGAAGAAGCTTCACTGGCTGCATCCAGGTCATGCTCGGGCGGGCCTGTTTCTTTTTCAAAGTCTTTTAACCAATCTCGTCGTTTCCTCTTAGGTAAATTAATTCTGTGGGAGTGTTCACCATTAGAGAAAATCAACTTGTTATACACTCAGATAACAGAAAAAAATGTATATGAAAATATTAGTAAACACAAAGATGTTACCTAAAAAAGTGGTTATTTCCCCATAGGATCCTATCACCGTGCCACAGTTGGGTGGTATTGCACACGAGGGTGCCATTTACACAGGACCTGAAGGAACACCAGGGAAGATATCAGCTGAACGGTAAAGAGCACAAAACCCAGTCCCAGTAGCCAAAGAGATAACTTGGGGAATTTTCTCTTAATAGACATATTCTATTAATAGCTGAAGAAGGAAGAGTAGAATTATAACCACAGTGTGATTTAAGCAATGATGATCAAGGGCTGCCAATATCCTTCAAAGAGAGAGAAACTGATGCAATGTGCTCCTGTAGGAATCAGACATCGCCACCTATGGAATATTCTTGTAAAATGAACATTTATGAGACACAAATATGGAAATCTGAACACTGACTGGATATATGATAATTAAAAAGGAATTATTGTTAATTATTTTAGGTGTGATGGTATTGAAGCTATGCTTAAGAATACTCATCTTTTAGAGATATAAGCTGAGATATTTATGATACAAAGTTATAATATCTAGAATTTGCTTTAAAATAACCTAGAGGGGAAGGAGGAAGAGATGTAGAGGGCATGTAAATAATACAAAATTGTCTATGAGGTGCTCTTTTTTAAGCTGAATTATGGAGATATGTGGGTTCATCATACTATTCTCTTTCCACTTTTATATGTTTAAAATTTTCCATAATAATTGGGGAAAACATAAAAAAGAGTGTCATGTTTAAATCCCAAATAGCTATCAAATTATAAAAACAAAACAACTGGAAGTTGAGAAGGCAATTCTGACCATCTTTATTATGAAACCATAAATGATGTGCACCGTGTCTCTGGGTTGTGTTGGCCTACACGTCTTGGACTTGTAGATATCAAGGGGCTGTGGGTCAGTTACCTGAATGACCCAGCGCAAAAGTGTTCATACGGTTTCTTGCTTGTTATATGATCTCATCAACTGATCCTCTGACACAGTTAAAGCATAGTCACTGTGACAGTTTTTAGGAGAAGAAAAGGCCTCCAGAATTTTTAGCACTGACAGTATTAGTCTTCTCATAAATGTTTCCTTCACTTAAAAAAGAGATTTGCTGGTAGTCAAAAACAAAACTTTACTGGGAAGAATTAATTAACTAATTAATTAAAGTTTAATTTGCCAAATGACTGTCAGGTGATGTTTGATGAACAAAAATAATGATATTATTGAGTTTTAGTTTTTCAATAAGTTATTTTTCTCATATAATCTCATAAATATTATCTGGCTCCTCATATTTATAGGGCTCTAAAGCTCAGAGTTATGGAATAAGTAGAACTCACATAGAAAATCACTCCTTTGTAGTAATATTTCAAATCTGAGTGGTTAAGTTTATATTTACAAAAGTACTCTGGAAATATCATCATAAATGTTTTAATCTGTCATACATAAACATGATTAAACTTTGGTATTTATATTTAACACTAACATGCTCCCTTTCTTCTTCTCAATCAAAATGAATCTCGACATTGTAACTCAAGTTTCAAAAGTATGTATCCCATCTATTTGGAATTATGGACCTATTTATTCATGTACGAAAGCGGAAAATGAAATCAGAATATATATGTATGTCTACACATATACATATGGATACACACACACACACACACACACACACACCCATTTTTACCAAAAGGGTGAAGAAAAGTTTGGTTTTTTTTAAGGTTTAAAAAAACTTTAAAAATCTCTTCGACCTACAAAAGCATTTATCAGTCACTTTTTAAAGAAAATACTGCCCACTGTTTACTAAGGTATCTAAAAAGCCCTCCAGAAATTCTAGTAACAGTAGATGACCAATAACAGAAATGTGTCACTCAGTATACTTTATTATTTTAAAATCTGAATTATGATTTAAAATATTCAGTTCTTACTAGTTATATTTCAAGGCTCAAGAGCACCAACTCACTAGTGGCTACCAAAGTGGTTTTAGCAGTTACAGAACTTTTCCATTATCTCAGAAGTTCTACTGGGCAGCGTTATCCTAGAATAAAACTAAAAACAGCTCCCAAACAAATGAGAGAAACATCACAAGCTTTGCCTCCCTTACTTATTGATAACTTTTGTGACGTTCTGTATCTTTAGAGACCTCTGTCTAGGTGTACACACACACACACACACACACGCGCGCGCGCCTATCACTTTCTCATTCACAGTATGCGCTTATTACAATAATATAAAAAAAGTTATGAAAACTGCTTGATTTGGCAATGCACTCAAGACAAGAAATTAGCATAAAAACTAATTTCTAGTTGGACACATGCCTGGGATGCTTGTAAGAAACAAATATAAAACCTCTTTGCACGATTCACGTACCCTCACCTAGGCCACAAACCTCCTACAGATAGACTAAGAAATCACAAACTACTTCAGGAAGCAAAGTTATCAGCAGATACAACAAACAGTTGGGTTGAGACCCCAACAACTTCGGAGGACAGAATTCTCAAATAAAGACAATAAAATAAATAAAAATAAAATTATTAAAGGCATATGATGGAGTAAAAACAAGACTACCAATAGAGACCAGGCACATCCAAAGATGGAGCTCTTGAACTTCTGCAAATGAAAAACAAACACCCCAAAAATCAGAAGTCAACAGAATAACTGAGCAGCAGCTGAGACATGACTAAAGAGCAGATTAGTGGACTTGAGCATAGATTTGAGGAAATGACAGTCCCTTAACCCCATGTCCCTCCCTTCCTCTGTCCTCAATCTCATTTCCATCTTCACACCCAATATTGCTGGCCTACTTCCACACATCCTAGTGTCAATTCTTTGCATTTTTGCTTCTGCATCCACAACTACATGGCACTTAAAACCCCAAGGTTCCTAGTGTCTTCCTAATTGCTACACTCAAGAGAATCTTCTTAGCTTCTATTTTGACCTGCCCTTCCTTAAAATTTTTCTCTTCCCTTAGCTTCCATGATTATATCTTGTTACCTCTATTGACCCCCTGGCTCCCTCGTCTAAGCTGCCTTCATATACTATCCTCAGACCATCACCAACACATTGGTTTAATCCTTCCACTGCACTTTCAAGAAAGCGCAAAACTAATAATGGCCAATTCTACACCTTTAGTGTAACTTTACAGCACTAAATCCAATGTCCTACTGGATATCTCTACATTGATATCTCAGGGACATCTCAAATTCAAAGTATCCCACACTGAACTTATTACCACTCATTATCTATCATTCCCCAAACCCGTTTCTCCTCTCGTTTTCCTTATTTTGGTTTAGCAGCACCACCATTTATTTAGTCTCCCAAGAAAGAAACCTGTAATGATTGCTGACTTCTCCTTTTCTTTCACTGATTGAGTCCCCATCCTGTCCCTAGTCAGATCACAACAACTTGCTGACTTTCAAATAATTGTCAAATACATTTCATTCCTCACCTCTACTGCCACTTGCTGTGGTTCTATAACCATATCATAAAAAATATCCTAATTGACCAAAACCTGGTACAGATAACACAAAAAAGGAAAACTACAGACCAATATCTCTCATGAACACAGATGCAAAAATCCTAAATAAGATACTAGTAAACCGAATACAGCAACGTATTAAAAGGATTATACACATGATCAAGTGGGCTTCATCCCAAGGGCACAGGGATGGTTCAACATATGTAAATCAATTAATGTGATACACCACATAAACAAATTAAAAAATAAGAATCATATGATCATATCAATAGATACAGAAAAAGCCTTCGACAAGATATAGCATCCATTTATGATCAAAACACTTAACAAAATCGGTAAAGAAAGAAAGTACCTTAACATAATAAAGGCCATATATGACAAACCCTCAGCCAACTTATACTTAACGGTGAAAAACTAAAAACCTTCCCTCTAAGATCAGGAACAAGGCAAAGCTGTCCACCATCACCACTGTTATTCAATATAACACTGAAGGTCCTAGCGAGTACAATCAGGCAAGAGAAAGATATAAAAGGCATCCAAATAGGAAACAAAGAAGTCAAATTGTCACTATTTGCGGATGACATAATTCTCTATATAGAAAACCCTAAAGACTCCACAAGAATACTACTAGAAACAATAAGCAAATATAGTAAAGTTTCTGAATACAAAATCAATGTTCAAAAATTCATAGTATTCCTATATTTAATAATGAAGAGCCAGAGAAAGAAGTGGAAAAAATAATTACTTTTGCAATTGCAACAAAAAGAATAAAATTCCTAGCAATAAATCTAACAAAATATGTGAGGGATCTATATAATGAAAACTGCAAGACCCTATTAAAAGAAATGGAAGAACATACAGAGAAATAAAAACATATTCTGTGTTCTTGGATTGGAAGAATCAACATAGTTAAAATGATCATATTACGTAAAACATGTATATATACAGATTGAATGCAATCTCCATCAAAATCTCATTTTTTTAAAGAAATAGAACAACAAAAAAAAACCCATCAGATTTGTATGGAAGCTCAAAAGACCCCGATGTGCAAAGCCTTCTGAGAACAAAGAACAAGGCTGGAGGCATCATTCTGCCCAACTTCAAATTATAAAAGAAAGCGACAGTAATCAAACAGCATGGTATTAGAAGACAA